AACGATTATAGCCTAATTAGGGAGTATGCATATGGAACTGGTCTTATTAAACCTCTGATATCTGTGGTCTGGTGTTCTCTATGATATTGATGTGGGTAGTGTCACCAATCCAAGATAAGAGCTCTTTAAGGCCCTCACAGATAAAGTTGTGGATGCCTATGAATCTGGCAAGCAGAAAATTATCTACAAGTGGCACAGATTTCAAACTGCTAATTTGCCCACAACTGGCTAGATCAGCAAATTCAACTTATTAGCTGACTGTATGACTGCAAGAAGTCTCCCAGAAGCTCAAAATCTAATTGTGGGGTGATCAGGCAGCTCTGCAGCTCGCACATGATCAAGTCAAATATACATTCTGCATCATGTCAAAGTGTCCTTGATGAGAATGTGAGACCATCTATTCAAAAGTTTAAACTGAATCAGCAATGAGTCTTTCAACATGACAATGATCTGAAGCACATTAACAAATCCACTAAGGAGAGAAGAAATGAGTTATGGACTGCAAAGCCCTGCTCTGATTTCTATTAAAATTTTGTAGGCGGATTTTGAAATGGGCAGTTCTTGCAAGGAAACCCACTAACATCTTGCAACTGACGGAGACTGGTGGAGAGTTATACAAAAGAGGTTTCTGCTAAAGGGGCAATACCAGCTTTCGATGCCAAGGGTTTTCCACAGTACAGAATTACATCTATTGATATTTTTTGCTGAATTATTGATTGGAGAGGCACATGTGTCTTGTCTAAGTATATCACCTTTATCTGTAGGCACAGTTTGAATACTATATATATATATATATATATATATATATATATGATATGGAGCAATCGCTGAGCACCAGGTTCTGTTTAAAACGTCTCTATTTCATGTGGAAAAGTCAGAAATTTACCCCATCTGGGATCCTAAAGCTGAACTTCAGGTATTTTTTTCCCATGCAGTGCACTGCACAGGTTAACTGCTCATATTTTCTAAGGAACAGGAGAGCAGTGATATACTTACCTAATTCTCCAATCCTCCCAGCACAAGACAGGTTTGGCACCCATGCGTTCCAGTAGTCTTGAATAGTGGACTGTTCCTGACATCACCATGCCCAGAGCAGGCTCCATAAATCAGGAACAATCCACCGCTAGACCATGGGGGAGCACCGTTTTCTGGAGGATCAAACAATCGGGTGAGTATATGCTTTCTTCTCACCCCTATAAAAAAAAGAGCAGTTGATCCGTGCAGTGTAGGCACAGCCACACTGCATGGGAAAAAGAGATGTTTGCTTGGAGTTCAGCTTTAACAGTTTACTGTTTAAATTGCTTAATATCTTGTCAGATACCTGTCAGGACAAGTCTGGTCATTGGAGCAGAGCAGGCTGAGTTTCCAGCATAGCTAGAGAACTGACTGCAGTGTGTAAACCTGCTTAGTGTGGTAAATTTTTAATAGGAAAGCAAAGCGACTGGCAGGAACACCAGCGTTTTCACACAGAGGAAGCAATACAAAGAGGACAGGATACTTTTTGATACAAGTACATGGTACAATAGGCACATATCAGGAATATGAAATCTTTTGTTTACATATTCTTTAAGAAATTCCTGCTGTTTTTAATATGCTGACAAATACCCAAAAATAAAATTTAAAAAAATCTTTCTAAATTAATTTACTAGATATTTTATACTGTAATTGACTTATTCTGACAATTATAACACTGAACAGATGAACACTCATACCTTCAGACTACATTGGCATTTGCAGTGCTATTTGCAGGCTGAATCCTTTTTAAAGAGCCTCCAGCCTGCATGTGACCACTATCTTGTAGCTGACATAATGATCACATGATCAGTCACCACTCTAATTGGTTTCTGATCATCAGTGGGGACCAAAGCTGGCAGTGACAACTGGGATTGAGAGACAGCAGCCTTACAAATTGTCAGCTGGTGGCTCTTAAAGGAAAGTTATTTATTTATTCCCAGCACAGGGCATTTAGAGTTGAGAGTTTAGTGACTGGGTTTCATATACATTGATTATAAATAATATTTTTTTAAATTGTACTTTATTAAATTCTGACCATAATAAAAATAAAGAATATATACTCACCGGCCACTTTCCTAGGTATACCTGTTCAATTGCTTGGTAACATAAATTGCTAATCAGCCAATCACATGGCAGCAACTCAATGCATTTAGGCATATAGACAAAGTGAAGATGACTTGTGGAAATTCAAACCGAGCATCACAACGTGGAAGAATTGGGGATTTAAGTGACTTTGAACGTGGCATGGTTGCTGGTGCCAGATGGACTGGTCTGAGTATTTCAAAATCTGTTGTTCTACTGGGATTTTAACGCACAACCAACCAGCTCTAGGGTTTACAGAGAATGGTCCGAAAAAAAAAAAATATCCAGTAAGTGGCAGTTGTGTGGACAAAAATGCCTTGTTGATGTCAGAGGAGAATGGGCAGACTGGTTGCTGTGACATTCAGATGGTAGGATCAGAATTTGGTGTAAACAACATGAAAGCATAGATCTATCCTGCCTTGTATCAACAGTTCCAGCTGGTGGTGGTGGTGTAATGGTGTGGGGGATATTTTCTTGGCACTAGCAAGGCTTACCTAATAAAGTGGCCTGTGAGTGTATGTACAGAGCCCCAACATTTACTAATTCCTTCCAGAATGTCTGGAAGCCTGTTTCAGGTGACCTACAGCTATCAGGATTTTAAAATAGCTTCCAAAGTAATTGCCAAAGAATGATCTAACTAACTGATCATACATGGTGCAGCTTCAGAAGAACACTGTCCAATTATAACATAATTATAATTAAAACTATTCTTACATTTAAATACTGCTTGGCATTCCTCTAAATTTAGAGGAAATTCAGGGGAGAAAGGAACTTTGTACAGCCCAGGAGATCAAGGAAGATGGTTAGCTATTATGATCTGTCAAGTGTCAAGTTGGTGGTGAGGGATGGTCATGGGTGTATATTTTAGTATTTGATGTCATTAATTCCTATTAGAGCAGTATACTGAATCTTGGTTCACAGCTCAAAATGGCTGTCTGCACAAGTACATGAAGCTGCACTTTGATATGTTTTAGCAGTTCTGTCATTGCTTTCCATAACTGAACTGCAGAATAAAGTCATTTACATAGCAATAACCACTTTCTGTTAAATATACTGTAGCTGAAAAGACAATCAGATAATCAGATTGGAGAATAGATAATGGTTTTCTTTTTGATTTGTAATAATAAAAAAGGCTCGCCCCTCTTATCGGCTGCCAGCTGTATTTTTATAATGCAGACATGAACAATAGTGGTATCGGCTGTTCCTAGTTTTCATAATCCAGCTGTTGACTTTGCTGTTTATAACACAGAACTGAAACATTGTTTCCATTTAAAAAAAGCAAATAATAATATTAATAACACAGTAACAGTAATACAATGTAATGTGTGTAATGTTCATTTTTCCCTGCTATATCCAAAACTATCTAATAAAAGAGCCATGTAGTTACTTTAACAGCCTCCATTTAAAAATGGTAACATTAATAGTGCGTCAGAAGAAAATGTTGGTGGTTCACTGCATTCATACATTTAATGATTTTTGAAGTTGAAATTGCTTAAAAATTATTGTTCATATATCCAGCATTGACAGGCTACCTTCACATTGACACTGAATGTAAAGAATGCAAAGAACATTGTTTAGGAAATGTTGCTATTGCTGTTGCAGTGAGCTACTGAAGTGAATTCCCAGCGTGGCAGAAATGCCGCATGGAAACTGGTGTTACCTGAAGTCTAACAAACATGCATCAAGGTGCGCTACATTGTGGCAGACTATTCATTTTAAATGGGCTGACAGCACACTAACGCATAAAAAAACATACATGACCCTTTTTAATGTAGTGCACAACATTACAGGGTACTACTGTACCTTCTCTGACTCATTCAGCCGTGTGTGTATTCTGAATACAGCCGAAATATAAAGGATCAATGCACATTCTCTTTAGAGCCCAACTCTAGGAAACATAAAAACTCTGCTCGTTTCTGTCCAAGGGATCTACAATCAGGTTTATGCTTCCCGGCAGACACTGCTCGCACATGCTGTTGCAGTAGATTTTTCCTCAGCGTCCTCACGTTCAATGCAGAGCTATGGTCTTTGCTTTGGTCTTGGTGATGAAATAAGGGGCTGCAGGGACCAGTCTAGCTGCACAGAGCAGCCTGCAGGAGCGGAGGATCGGGTAAGTAAAAGGGCTTTTACAAAGTCCATGTGCCTGCACTTCAAGGAAGGATTTTTAGGTTTCCTGGAGTTCAGCATTATAACACAAAAGTGAAAAAAACTTCCAGTCAGCAGGCAGTAGAGTTTCACCTACTTGCTGCATGTAGTAGGAAATAGAAAAGAGAAGGGAAAGGAAAGAGTAGAGAAGAGGGGAAAGAAGAGAGAGAAGAGATTAGAGAGAAATGAGGTAGGAGAGAAAGGAAGGGAAAGAGGGAAGAAGAGAGAAGTGAGGGGGACAAAGAAGATGGAAAAAAATTAGACAGGAAAGAAGAGAAAGGAAAGAGGTAAGGGGAGAGGGGAAAACAACCCTATACAATCCCTTTTAAACTGCTCCCCACATACAAATTTGGCCAGTTCCCAAACATGATAATGACTAATCAGTTTCAAGCTAGCCCCTCTGATAGAGCCTCCTCTACTAATCATATTCCTTCATGAGACCCCAAACCCTCATCAATATCAGAGTATATTAATTTCCAAGGTTATGTCATAGAGCAATCTAGTTATAAAATCTGCTGTAAAAAAGAAGTTGAACAGTTCCAAATAGCAACCAGACTTCATGTTTAACTTGACCCATGTCAGTTTAGAATAGCTGATGGAGCTATATGCCTTTATACTTAATTTATCCAACATTTTATGACATCATAGAACATGTATTTAGATTTGGTATGTGTAAAAGGGAATTTTTTCCTGGATAGTTTGCAGCGGAGAGTGAAAGTTTAAGCATATATAATCTATCCAGACAGACAGAATCTTACCAGCTCTCTTAATCCGCTTTCTTTCTTTTAGCTGATATGGTTTGTGATCATGTGATAAGGGAATGGCATTTCCATCCTTGTCACACAAGACTCCACGTGAATCTCCAACATTCGCAACTGTGAGTTCCTTGTCAGACAGCAAGGCAATTAGGCAGGTAGTACCTGTAACGATAAGAATCAAACATTGTGAAGTTTTTTGATCAGAGAAAATATTCAGAAGTGTAGCAATTTTAGATTGGCACACAGTGGCGACTACTCAAGCATGTTACAGGGTATTCTAGCCTCTCCTGTGGTCATTTCTCCTGCACATATTCATCCCATGCCACTGGATTGTGACTTTGACTTTCCATGATGCAGAACATGGGAACATACCTGTATACCCATAACATATTTATAAATCTTCGAATGCTTAAACTGACACTAATCTCTGCTTTAACAAATATATATTTAAGTATGACTTCTTAAAAATGTACCGTATATTGCTCTCAGTCTCTTCCAAATCCCTAAATTCCTTTTCTTTTTTTTTGGCATCTGATATCCTGTTAGAGGGTGGCTGCATTTGTTTTCTATGGTCTCACTGTGGGGGAGATTTACTAAAACTGGAGCACTCAGAATCTGGTGCAGCTGTTCATGGTAGCCAATCAGCTTCTAACTTCAGCTTGTTCAATTAAGCTTTGGCATTAAAACCCAGAAGCTGATTGGTTTCTATGCACAGCTGCACCAGATTTTGCTCTCTCCAGGTTGTAGTAAATAACCCCCTGTATATAGAAACATAGCCACCATCTCTTGCTCTCTCCCCAGATGGACTATGGAATATTTGTGCAAATAGAGTAGTGCACATGGCCGCAACTGACATGCACTCCTCCTCCCAAAGAAACAAAGTGGAAGGTAAAAAAGAAGATTCATTGGGAGCTCACATAGAAAGTTACAACGTGGCAGAAAAACACAATTATGAAACAATTTAGTGAAAAATAGATTACAGGCGATTAAAGTCCAGGCTATTCCTAACTATGCTAAAACCTGATACATTTCCTTCTAAATCCTAATCAAACTATCCTGTTAAAGGAAGATGCTTAAACTTACCTATTCTGAAGGCGCTCTGGTCCGATCACATGATCTCCCCCGTGGCCAGCTTCAGGGGAGAGGAGAGATTGCCAACAACAAATGGAATGCCTATGTGGAGGCAGAGTCTTACAATGGGGCATCAGTTGTTGGCTGTCCCTCCTCTTCCCTGAACCACCGCTCGGGGCTGATCATATGACTGGACCAGAGTGCCCTGAGAATAAGCAAGTATAAGTATCTTCCCTTTCACAGGGTAGTTAGAGTAGGATTTAGTAGGGGAGTGGGGGCAGGTTTTAACTTAGTTAGGATTAGCCTGGAATTTCATTTTATGTAGTGGATGTATATGTAATATTTTTGGAGAATTAAGAATGTGGTTTAGTGTCACTTTAAAGAAAGATTGTTTTTGTATGTTCTTGATACTGTCATTGTAGGGAGCAGTGTCATTTAATTTCAGTAGTTTTTTATTAAAGTAGAACTATAGACAATTGTTTTCATTTTAGATAGAGTAAGGGAGAGTTATAACCCCTGTCAGTTTATTTTTTGCCATCTCTGTCCCATTGGGGGTATTTACCTTCACTTACTAAAACAGGATGTGAGTGAAATTCCTGCAAATTAAGGGAATTTCTTGGGGACCCCCAGGTCACCATAACTAGTGCCCCCACTGGAAAAGTTTCCCCCTATTACTTTTCTCAGGACAACCCAAAATGTGGGGTCCTTTTTTACTTAAACGGGACAATTGGAGAGAATGAATCTCCCTAACGGGGGCAAAGGTAGCAATAAAAACTGACAGGTGTTTTAATCCCTCTCCACTCTATCCAAAACTTAAAAAAAGTTTTGCATTTAGTTATACCTTAATATGTATTTTGGATAATTCAAATGCTTGAGCATGTACACAAATTACTAACCAATAAAGTTAGCCAATAAAGATCTACCTGTCTTTTATGTTGCAGAGGTCTACCTCACACTGAAGCTGCAGTTCCAAACAAAGGCTTCAAATTGTAAAAAAAAAATAGAAAAAAAAGAAACAAAGGAGCTATTTAATACTTTTGTGCAATGAATAAACCACAGCTACTTGGCATCTCTCTGCCTTCTTGGTGAGCCCCAGAGGGCACATTACATATACACTCACCAGTCACTTTATTAGGTACACCTTGCTAGTACCAGGTTGGACCCCTTTTGCCTTCAGAACTGCCTTAATTCTTTGTGGCATAGATTCAACAAGGTGTTGGCAACATTCTACAGAGATTTTGGTCCACATTTACATGAGTTACTCTTGCCTTTCTATCATCTCGAACCAGTCTGCCCATTCTCCTCTGACCTCTGGCATCAACAAGGCATTTTCGTCCACACAACTGCCGCTCACTGGATATTTTCTCTTTTTCGGGCCATTCTCTGTAACCCTAGAGATGGTTGTGCATAAAAAAAATCCCAGTCGTTTTTGGAATACTCACAGCAGCCCGTCTGGAATCAACAACCATGCCATGTTCAAAATCACTTAAATCCACTTTCTTCCCCATTATGATGCTTGGTTTGAAGTTCAGCAAGTTGCCTTCACTACGTCTACTTGCCTAAATGCATTGAGTTGCTGCCTTGTGGTTGGCTGATTAGCAATTTGTGTTACCAAGCAATTGAAGAGGTATACCTAATAAAGTGGCCGGAGAGTGTATGTTGAGTTGCCTGTTATGGAACTAGAAGTACTATTATACAGTGTTAGCGTTTTTATATGTATAGTTTATATGTATAGTTTAAGAAAAAAAAAAAGAAACATAAATAAATAAAAAAGGAAATGAAAATATTATTTGAGCATATATGTATTTAGTTGTACAATCAGTTTGATGTATTACAGACAGGAAAACAAACCGATACAATAAATACAAGTCCTCTGCAAAATTCAACACCAAAGTTTCAGAAGGGAAGTGTAACAGATTTCAACTTGTTTAGTAGGCGACACTAGTAAATGCCAACTCATAATGACCAGAGGCACCTACTCATTTACTCTGTCCTATGGGATATTACTGCTTATCTAATTCCTTACGCTTTAGTGGGTCTTGGGTGAATATCAATAGCTGCTGGCCTAGATAAGAGAAACGCTTAGTGACTCCGAAGAAGCCTGAGGCGGCAGCAAGACGCAGACAGAACAATGAACATTAGTAGAAATATGGGTCACCAAAATATACTAGTACACAAGCTATTATGTGCTGCTTGTGGGCTGTACATAGAGATAGAAAACACAGTAAAATGCCTTAGGTAGCACGAAATACAATTCTAAGACCAGCCACATTGTTTATTTTGGATAGTAGGAGAAGAGAGAATCTCCTATTAATAATTTACACCCTGTCCCTTTGTTGTGATGGTCCTGCCCCTTGCAGCTGTTGATCCAGATCATTTGGAAGGCGCACATTGTGTCTGCATCAGTAAATCATGCCCGCCGCACATGGCCTCCTGGCAGCCCTATGACAATAATCTCTTACTGACTCTTTATTTAACAGATGATCATTTACCCAAGTGCCAAACAGACACACATTTTTATCCAGCACAAAAGGCAACACTTTTCCTGGACTGTAAACTGAATGTGAGAGGAAACCTGCAGACACTGCTTTTGGCATCTGCTTATTTTCAGTAACGAAATGTTTCTGTATTCCACAAACTTTTCTCCAAGGAGATTAAGAGGGAGCACATATGCTTGGCCTGAGTTCTTTACTGAGTTCAGGTTTGGATATGACAACAACAGAACATCTGAGTCTGCTTCAGATAAGTAATTGAGCCCGTAGGCAGACAAACCACTGTTTACATTAGCCAACTCAAAATGCAATCACATGCAAATTGTTGTAAATAAATGGGTTGTCCATATTTGAGTTCTCTGACCTAATCCTCTTATACTGCTTTACATTCACTAACATGGTTACGGATTGCCGTACGATTCCCATGATTTTCAAACCAATCAACACAGCATCTGATTTTCAACCAATCGATTATTACTGTAAATATTTTCTATTTTATGGGTGGGACAAAAAAAAATAAAACTGATCAAAATATTCTTTCTTAATTTTTTTTGTCATGTAATATATTGTGTAATAATATGCTGTATTTTTTGTTCAACAACTGGAGCTCTTGGATCCTTTCTTTCTATCTCTTTACGGCCTATTGAAAAAAGCTGTGACCTCAATAGCTCAAGATGGATTTACACAGAAGTAAATGACTTATCCCTTATGTTTAGTCTAATACATACACAGTTCAAGTTCCTGCTGAACCGGCCGAGATTCGAACCAGGTATGGGCAGGCTGAATGTACCCAAGTCAACATGGGTACAACCAGCATGTCTGACTGTACTTGCAATTGTTGCTAGCGGCTATTATAAAATAAACTTATATATAAAATCTATATATAAAATCGAGCGCAGTGTATAGGTGTAAGTACGGTAGCTGCTTGCACAAAAAGGCACCTCGGGAACCTCCAAAGTAATTGATAAAGAATGAGAGTGCAGCGCTAACCCAAATAGCGATTAAACATATGATAGACCACATATGATAGTGGATCAGTAAAATGTCAGTGTAAGTTCATCAGATGTGCTGAAAATGCATACAGTCTCCAATATGTAAAAAACCAAAAGTAGTGACTTTCAGAAATGATAATAGCCAAATAATGCACTAACCAGATAGCGCATATTAAAGCGCATGGAGCATTTAAGACCTGCCCCTGGTGCTCAGCCACTGTATCACTGGAGCCAGGAGATGTCATCTATAGGGTGACCACTAGATGTCATCTATCCGGATGGAAGCTGAGTCCAGCCACTGTATTAGAGGATCAGGCGGATGTCATCTATAGGGCGACCACTAGATGTCATCCGTTCCAGGAGGAGCTGTGTCATGGATCCAGGGATGTCACTTGCAGATGTGTCCTTTGCTCAGCACAGCCCCAGGACCTTCAGAATTACAGGCTCCCCAGAAATAAAGAGCCCGTGGAAAAAGGTCTCAAATAGTGTGATATCGTTTATTAAAGTAGGTAAATAATCAGAAAAGAACTTACTAACAACGGTTCAGCTGCTCATAAACGGCCAGACCAGAGGTACATGTACACAGGATATAAATAGCTTGGCACTTCCCT